TGTTTACGTACATCATTCTAAGATGTGGCTGTTTATAAAATAAGATCGTTATTTCTGCTCCCTTTCTCCCAGGAGATTAGATCTCACCTAAACATTATTTTGAAGTCCCTAGAAGTTAAAAACTAGATGAGTACCAGCTTCTATTAATCATTAAATGCATGTGCTATTATCGCAAGAACCAAGGCACTGTTATTTTCATACTAATATGACCAGAGAAATTCTCCGGGAACGTGCCCCAGTAAGAAAGCAATGTCTGAAAGGAGGCCAGTTGCTCACCCAAAGAGAAACTCATCCGACAGCAGTATGTTGGTCCCCAAATTTTTATATTACCAGAGCACCAACAGCTGACTGTGCTTTGGGCTGCTGGGTCGAGCTAAGCAAATTTATAAGCCTGATATTTAACCAAAAATGCCAACTTCTTCACTTATAATGGGGGACATATCTTTTAGTGACCAGAATATTAGTGTCAAGGAGGTTAAAACCAAAACCAAACCAGATGTCATTGAGTTGACTCTGACTCATGGTGACTCTCACGTGTCAGAGTAGAATTGTGCTCCATAGGGTTTTCAACAGCTGATTTTTCAGAAGTAGATTGCCAGGCCTTTCTTCCAAGGCACCTCTGGGTGGACTGGAACTGCCAACTTTTTGCTTAGTAGAAGACTGCGCTAACCATTTGCACTACCAAGACTCTTTCAAGGAGGTTTCATGGTAAAAAGGCAAAAAAAAAAGTCGAAGAATAACAAGGAGGGGCTGGTTTTTAGGATTTCAACTAAACTCGGGGAAAGTCACATGAAATATCCCTGCCTCATATTCAGAGTCCATCTCTTGGACGATGGGAACCACCTCTTTGGCCTGTTGGTGGCCCTCTCCTTTGGATGGTACTAGACTAAGAATGAGCCCTACCTGTTCTTCATTCTCCTTTTTCTAGGCTCTGCAGACTCCGTCCTGGAAACATTCTTCTTTCAAGATATCGTTAATAATTGGCAAGATTACAGCTTCAGCCTTAACCTCATCAGTCAATCAGTCAGATTATAGCTTTTGACATTAATACCATAGACAAGGTTATAATTTCAGTAGACACCCTATAATTGATTAGACATTCTCACCTAGCCATCTAAAACCCAAACCCATTGCTGTCAAGTCGACTTCGACTCATAGTGACCCTACAGGACAGAGTAGAACTGCGCCACAGGGTTTCCATGGCTGTAATCTTTACGGGAGCAGATTGCCACATCTTTCTCCCACGGAGCGGCTGCTGGGTTCGAACTGCCAACTTTTTGGTTAGCAGCTGAGCACTAAACCACTGCACGATCAGTTACAGATTGTTGTCTAGCACCTGTTAACGTCTAAGGGTGGCTGACTGCATCACTTCGTAATTTCATGTCTCGCCAATGTTTCTGTCATCTCCTAGAGATGGAGCATAGAAAAACATCTTACATAAACTAGAGGTTTTCAAACTTTAAGTAACAGAACTCTTTCTTCTTATTAAAAACAACAAACACCTCAATTTATGTAAGGGCTAAAACAGGATCTACTGTAGTTAAAGGAGAGGCTCCCTTGCCACACACCCACCCCTCCACGGCCCTACCAATAGACTGTGAGGAAGTTTGAGAAACCACTATTTTAGACCAATCCTTCATCTTTGAATTGAGGAAACAGACCCAGAGAAGTGAAGAGAACTACAGAGACAAAGACAGCTGGAGCTGGCCCACTGTACCCCATGAGACCCTGGGGAAAGAGAGAAGGAAGTGAGGGCAGCCCATTCAAATCAAACAACTTCTTTTACATAAAGAAGTTACCAGTATAAACATGTTCAAATTACTTGCATACTAGATAAAAGGAATCTGCTACCAGGATAAACACATTGACTATTTGTGTACAGTACTGGATAAAAGGAATCTTTTTTGTAGGAAATACTGAGACTTTTTTCAGACATTCCAAAAGAAGCATCGGAAGTACAAATTCAACTTGGAAAGAACAAAAACATGCAGTCAGATCAGGCTTACAATTCCTAAGAATCTCATCCCTAATTTCCACAGCATGTCTGTAAGCGGGCCCTTAATTTCAAAGTTAGTCTACTCTTCTTTCCTATACAAGTAGAGACTTTACACCCCGCTCACTACATGGTCCAAATAAGTAATCCAGTGCAGCCATTTGGGGAACCCTGGGTTCTCACTATGGGAACATATAACATCAAGTTGCCTTCCAGAATCTCAATCCCACGAATTAATTACGGTCCAGAGCAGGGTCCTCATGAAAAGACTGCCAATTACATTCAGAGCCAATGAAAACAAGGATCCAACATAATCTACCAAGGCAATCTTACTCCCTTAAGTCTCACTGAGACTGTCATGGAATAAAGGAAAAACCAGAGAACTTAGAGAGACACAAGCGAATTAACTCGTCTCTCTAAATGTCTCTTCTCATCAAGAAAATGAAAGGGTTGGACTTGCTGATCTATAGGTTTTCATTTCAAATTCCAGGACAAGGGGTTTTTCTAATTTGAAACGAAGCGGATCCTCTTCATTCTGCCGTACCCAATCCCAACTTTCTCCGCCCCACCCGCTTGCAGAGGAAAAGAAGAGGGGCGGGGAAATAAATCCCAGCTTGCCCCAGCCGCTACTCAGTACCCGTCAAGCATAAATCCCCTAGGTTAACAGCGCTGTCCGCAGGCCAGACTCGGTGAAACGGTAGTGCATCCAGATACTATCCCATCTCCCGCCTCCGGAGCCAAACGGCTCCGCGTTCAAACAGTTTAGAATTCTGCCTGTTGTTAATGCTACAGGCAAGAGAGACTCCACAACCCACTTTGGTGACTAGCCCTCTGTGCTCACAAGCTTCCAGGACACAAGTTCTTTTTCGGTCTAACCTAATCCTTCCCTGATGCTAGGTTGAGCTCAATCCTTCTTTCTGACCTTGGGGAGACGCCTGCTCCCCGCCCCGTCCCCTCACAGGCGCGCTAAGGGCTCCTTCACCAACATCAACCATTCCTCCCATCCCCCCACCCTCCTAAATTTAGGACAGGGACTCTTTAGGGCTATTCTCTCTCTCCCGGGACCGACCAAGCTTCGTTCCGAATGGGAAAAGAGAGGGAAAAAATATGGAGGGGGACGACCTGTACCCTGACGAGTCACTCCTCCAGCTGGCCACAGGAACCAGGTATCCGATCACTCGCGCATCCCTCTCCCCTCCTCCACCGGACTGCAGAGCAACCCAGGTGGAGACCCGCAGGGTACACGCTTGCTCGGACCCCCGCTTCGCGCGCCCCCTCGGCTCCATCCCCAGATCACCTGGCGAGGAGCTGGGAAGGAAGGGGGTCTCTTCTCTCTCACCTGGGGCGGAGGCGCTCGCTCATGGCAGCTGGTGGAGGGGAGCAACGGGGCGCCGCTCCGCCAGAAGAGGGAACAGGGGATGTTGTGTTTCGGCGGCCGCCACGCCCACCCCCTCGGGCCTTGGCTTTCGCCGCCAGTCGGGTGGACGCCGCGGGCAGGGAGTACCCCTCCGTCGGCTCCGTACCACCGCTACTTCCGGCGTCTCCTCCGCGCCCCCCCATGTCGCATACGCCGTGGTCCCGCCCACTCGCGGCTGCGCAGTGGCACGAGCCTGGTCGCGCCGACCGGTAACCCCGCCTACGGGAAGAGGCGGGCTCGGAGGGGGAGGAGCGACTCGGGGCTTCTGGGAGAGTGGACCTCATTAGAGTCAGCCCGAGCTTTCGCCTGTTCATAGCTTAGGTGAGCGGTATGAAAGTCGAGCCAGGTTTAAATTAAATTACGTCGTCATCAAGTGACACAAATATCTGAAGCAAATCCCTGTGAGGTAACTTTTTTAAAACTAGAGCTGAGAACGATCAGGCAGTTGTGGAGACAGCCTGCAGCGGGTCGCGGGACCGGGGGTTGGGAAGGGGTTCGTGGGGCTGTTTTGAGGGCCTTGTCGCTGGCGCATCTTGGAGTTTTAAATATTCTTGAGTTGAGGACGCAGTTCTGGGGTGAGTCTCAAAGGACGGCTGAGGGAGACTGTCCTGGGGCGAGAGAGGAGCAGACTGGGCCCCGGGGCCAGGCGGAGGGGCTTCCCGGAGCCTCAGGGAACGAGCCCCCTCGGCACCCTAGCCGGCCCCTGACCGAGGAGGTGCCCGCCGGCCTCCGTCCACCCTGCAGGGAGCAGCAGGACAGTTTTCAGAAAAAGTTAAGGGAGCAGGGAGGGTAGGCAAGTTAATGCGGCTGGGAAGAGGAAAAGCTGCTCGAGATCGAAGGAGGTAGTGACAAAGATAAGCTTGGAGATCGGCCCTGTGCCCGGAATGTCGGCCAAGACTTAACTCTATGCTTTCTGTAACATCACAGGGGAACTGCCATGCAGACAACCCAGTAATTTGTATTTGATTCAATACCATGCTACATTTACGCACTCTGTGTGTGTGTGTGCGCGCGCGCTGTCGAGTTACTTCTCTGTGTCTTACACAGGCCATTAAAATATAGTCTCATTCTGCCAAACTCAGGAACGGTGATCGTGAAGTATGGGAGATCGAGAGAAACAACTGTCAAATTAGCGTTCTCCTAGAGGAGACCGGGTAAGAAAGCAGTTAGGCACCCACGTTAACACGTTACCGTCTAAGTGTACTGAGATCTTTCCACTGAGTGTAAGCGTGGGGGTGGAGTACTATACAGGGAGAAACGTGTAACAGAGATTTCAAATCTCGTTCTTCTAGAGTTATTAGCCTGAGGTCCATGGACGGGGTTCAGGGGTGTGTATTTTTGTAAATAAAAGGTCGATAACTTTCATCGTATTATCAAACAGGTTCCTCCAAAAAAGCAAGAATAGTTACTCTGTAAAGTCTATGGGCAGAAAACAGTTTTGTTTTGCCTGACCTGGTGTAGAATAAAGTGGGTTGGTTGCTTTGATAAATGTTTTAACCAGGATTGTGTCTGTTTATTTTGTAAATAGTTTCAAAGTCTTGATTTTTCCACGTGTTTAGTAGTCAGAAAATAGTTATGTATTTGTGGTTTATGTCTAGAGAAAGAATTCACTCAACAAATATTATATGCCAGGCTCAGTGCTAGGATCTGAGAACACAGCTGACCTGAAGGATAGACATGATCCCTGTTCTCTGGGACTTTATAGAAAAAATAAGAACTGTAAAACAGTTTTAAGCTGAGCTTTGGAATTAAACATTTCCTTTTCCTGACTTTAGAGAAGAATGAAAAGGTACAAATCATATGTTGCATACATTTTGCAAAGATGTCAAACTAAACAAATTTGCCAACAGTCCACTGTTGTCCAGACTATCAGTAAAATATTAGGGACTGTGCCCTCCCCTGTAGATATATTATTTGTACACTATAAAAACCCAAAAACCAAACCTGCTACCGTCGAGTCCATTCTGACTATAGCAACCTTACAGGACAGGGTAGAACTGCCCTATAGGGTTTCTAAGGCTGTAATCTTTACCAAAGCAGACTGCCACATCTTTCTCCCGTGGAGCAGCTGGTGGATTTAAACCACCCACCTTTCAGTTAGCACCACCGGGGCTCCTCATTTGTATACTATATAATCATTTTACATGTGTGTATGTATATATGTGTATGTGTATTGCTAATATGGGGCCCTGGTGGCACAGTGGTTAAGAGTTCAGCTGCTAACCAAAAGTTCAGCAGTTCAATTCTACCAGCCGCCCCTTGGAAACCCTGTGGGGCAGTTCTATTCTGTCCTGTAAGGTCACTATCAGTCAGAATCGATTCATCGGCAACGGGTTTTGGTATTACTAATAGGTTAAATACTAGAAGAGCTTCATTTCTCATTATTAAATAATAAATTCAAATGGAAGTCCTAATATTTCCTTCTTGCACCCCAAAGGATCCTCCCTGTTACCACTTTGGAAACGACTGTTCTAAATCAATAGCCTTCAAATCCTGTCCTGAGTTTTTTATCCCTCACCATTCCGTCCTTGAAAGATGTGTTCAAGGGTTTTTATGTGTGCGTGCACATGTGTGAGCGAATGTGCACGTGTTGAAGGGTTTTTACAAGTTTCTTTATACTCATGTGATATTCAGTTGACTTGCTATAATCTTAAATAGTAAACATTTTATTCTGACTGGTGTTTTGAGGTTGTTTTCCTCTAACCACTAACTTATTCGACATATGGCTTCTGGCTTTATCACTTCTTCCTTTAGGTTGTTGAAAATTCTTTGTCTTTTGTCACTGATTGATTCCTAGAAGACTTTAAGACGTGTAAAGTACGGAGCATAAATAGACCAGGAATATTTATGTTAAAATCAAACATGTCTTTTCTTTTCTACCTCTGTAAGAAAAAGAAGGGATCACGATAAATTTTTAAAATGGCTTTTAACCTGGTGTGTCCCGAATGAATGTAAAAGATAACAACCAATAGATAAAATACCAGTTTCTTAATCGACAAATTATGTGCTCCTCCTAATCTCACATTTGCCTTTTTTAGGAAGAGGATGAGTGACATCCCACCCGGAATGGAAGTGTGCCCCTATTGTAAGAAGTCATTTAAACGGTTAAAATCCCACTTGCCATACTGTAAGATGGTAGGAGCAACTGTAGCTGCTGAGCAGAAGGTTTGTCAGGCCAAGCCAGCTACACTCTCTCACACTGACAAAAGGAATGGGCCAATCAAAGATGTAATTAAAGCTAAAGAGACCACTCTAGAGACAGAGAGAGAGGAAAGAACTACTAAGTTGATAAGAAACAAACCAAAAAGGACAACTAAGTCCCTTCCACTACTAGGTTTGAAAAAAGCAAGTAATACAAAGACAGAGAAATACATCAAGAACCAAATTCAGCTCTCCCCCAAAATGTTAAAAAATACTGAACCAAAAATTACTTTGCAGGCAGAGACTAAGGCTCAGTTTCATGCATCAGAGAACACCTCTCCTAAAAGAGAACTTGCCACAGATGTGCCTAAATCGGGGGACAGTAGAAATAATCCTTCAGAAGCAGAAGCATCTTTACTGCTTGGCCCAATGGAACCCTTTTCATCAAATCAAGATAGGCAGTCCTCGCCAGGCTTAGCTAGGGATGTACAAACCCCTTCTGCCAGTCTGAAATCAGACAAAATTAATCTCCTAAGACAGGAGCTTCTAGTAAAATCTTTAGATGTGCCTGTTGATTATTGTAGTTCTCCCATAAATCTCAACAATGAGCTTAAAACAGTAAGAACATCATTGTCAAGCAGTAAGAGAAACTCCAAGCCCAGGGATCACCTCTCAGAAGTTCCCACTGACGTGAGAAGCTCTGAGACTCAGGAAGAGAACACACAATCACTCATTTTAGGCCCCAGAGTTAGCCCGTTCAGTAAAATCCCAGTTGAGGAGAGCGAGGAGGTCATGTATGGCATGAGGGCAAACGGACTTCACCTTGGAGTAGAGGTACATGGGGTCAAAGGCAATGCAGAGAAAAGTCTGTCTGTGAGGGAAACGCAGGACTGGCCCCCCAGGAGCAATGGCTATAAGAAGAACTCCGGTACTGATGATTCAGTTGCAGAGAAGCAATCTCAGGATGAGCGTCCAAGCTTCAATCTGTCTACTCCAAGGGGGACAACTCGCAATGAGTTCCTTTCTGTGTCACAGTCAAGTAACCAAAGTCTTACCTCTCTGGCTATAAAATGTCTTCATGAAGAGAAAGCCAAAGCCCGCAGTCATAACCCCGGCAGTGGTATACAGACATTAGTGGAGGGTGAAGAGCAAGCGTCTCTGGAGCCCAGATCTGCCCATCATTGCCAGGCATTACACGCTGGACCCAGCCAGTGGCCTTTAAATCCAGCCTGGCATCACACTTCTAAAACTCCCTTCACCAGTCAGGTTGACGCTGCTGGCAGAAGGGCCCTTCCCTGCTCCATGGGGCTGGAATGGTTTCCAGAGCTCTATCCTGGCTATCTTGGACTCGGGGTGTTGCCAGGGAAACCTCAGTATTGGAATGCAATGGCCCAGAAGCCTCAGCTTATGAGTCCCAAGGAGGAAAGACTGTCACCAGGTAAACCAGCTCGGTTTCAAGGGGTCTTCTGCCATTCAGAACACTCTGTGCCTTTTGGATAAATAAGGTTCAGAATACTAATGCTTCACTCATTTAGCTTTTCTCCAGGGTAATCCAATGCACTGGACTTAGAATTGTTCTGAAAACATTGCTTCTTGCTTCAGAGTCAGTAGCAGTTGTTTCTTGTTCTTCCTTTCCTTCCAGCAAGAGTTGGAGATTGGACTGGGGCAGACCAGGAATATTGATATCAGTTGAGTTTCTACATTGACAAGAGGCATGGCCAATAGAAATTGGCTGGGTATTCAAGCCATACAGACTCAAAAATAGCATAAAGACTTCAAAATCCACCTAAGTAGAACAAGCGCTTTGTTCGGAGTTCAGTCTGGACCAGATTGTACAGGAAATAGATTCCGGCAACATTTAGGAATTTAGCAAGGAAGGTACAAGCAGCAGCTGTTTTGGGAGCTGTGAGCAGGACAGGGTTACAGCTGGTCAGGGCAGATGGGTGGAGTGGGGGTCAGGACCAGGACCCCAGGACATGACAGGAAAGGTGTGGAAGTCCATGCACTAGAAAAACAAAGCCAGAGGTTAGAATCCGAGAGTATCTGGACAAAACCAGAGATTGAGCCCTAAAACGCGAGAGATTCAGTAAGAAGTAGGCCTTGGAGAAAGGGATAGGACATGAAAACTGATGTTGATTGTGTCCCCTTCGGAAGCACCTTAGATAGTCCTTATTAATGACTAGGAAAGGTTAACAGGTAGGTAGGGCTGAGGCTGCAGTTTGGAATCAGGAAGTTCCTGGCCGTGTCATTTCTGGGATCCTCACTTTCTCCTGCTAACGCCCATTGTTCGTTATCAGACTGTGTGGTTAGAACATTTAAAGTTTGTTCATTCCCCTCACCAAGAAACTTTGAATTTTTTTAGGTTTTCTAGGAGCATAGCTAAAGTAGCATTGAGTCCTGTGAGATTGAATAAAGGGGAAAGAAATTGGATTTTTCCTTCAAAAATAAGTTTCCTCAGAGTAGTGCTGAGCAGCGGTTTTGTTTCCTGTTATTGTTTACAGTTCTGTAACATACTGTGATTGGTTTGGCGCTTCTGTATCATGGAACATAGAAGTGTAATGTTCTTTGGTGTTTTCAGATACATTTTGACAGGAGACCTAAAGAAACTCAGGGTAGGTTTGCACCTGAGAAACTTGTAGAACCTGGTCTCTAAGGCCTGGTTGATCCCTTTTTCATTAAACTGTGTTGTAGAAAACACACCAGCACTAGCAGCACACGTGTTTCTGATTTCTCTGTACATCTCGGTGTGTGTTGAATTGTATAAACGCACATCCACACACCATAATAAACCTCTGGCAGTGCGATGGGGTCCATGCTGGGCAAGGGGCTCAGAAAGCTAGGATCAGAACTTGAGCAGGGATGTGACAAGCTAGGATGGGTCTCCGGTTAGCCAGGGGAGTTCATGAAGGGGGGCATTTTAGATGAAGAGCACAACTGTAGGCATCAGCATGCAGGTAACTTGCAGCTGAAGACACAAGGGTTAAGTCGTAGGCTGGGATTCAGACTATTCCAGGAAATGCATAGAGCATTTTACAAGTATAGGGACTTTGCCAGGATTCTCAGCCGTTGTACAGAGAGAGTGGAGCCATTGGTCACTGGAGGCTTGACTGGGGAAGTTGGGTTTGAAACGAAAGGGCGTTAACCCTGGCAGGTGAAAGACAGTGTCTAGGAGATGAGGTGGCAGAGGGTGTGGCAATGTACTGGCAGTCCTGGGCCCACAGATACTGAGTCCGAGAGTTGGAACCCAGCCAGGCTGTGAGGGATATAGATGAGAATCCAGAGTGCCCGAGCAACAGGCAGGAAGACATTGAAAAAAGCAGTAACAGGACTTCTGTAGGTATTGAGCTGGCTTCTTGTAGGCCGTGGGCTGCTTAGGTGATCTAAGCCGGGGCCTGCCTGACAGGTTTGGCTGAACCTGTAGCTGGAAATAAACAGGCTCAACTGACTAGAGAAGAAGGAACAGGTCTGGGAGCCCCATGGTTCCCGACACTGCTGAGAAAGTGGCTGTGCAATTGCAATTTTCACAGAATTGTTTCTCCCTATTTTTTTCCCGAGATGAATGAGTTATGTTTTGCTTGTTTAATATTCTCACCACCTTGCAGGAGAATCATCTTCTGTGTAATTTCTTGGAAGCCACCGTGGTTCTTTTGTTATTTAATGTAATGGTGATAATTTGGATAGGATTTTTTACACCCACAGCAACATTTACCACACCTGCTAAAACCTGTCCTACATATTTGTTTAATTTATCCTTTATTCTGATGAGCCAGTGAACCAGCAATAATAGAGACTATCTGCTTGTCATCAAACATGGAGGAAAGATGGTGTAGGAAAAATGTGAATAATGTAGCATAAGCCTTCCTTGCCGGCTGTTTCAGTTATTCATGTATTAAACATAAATAAGAAAGGTTTGCCAGTCACTAAGAGTGACAGCAACAACAATAGTGATAGGGTAATAGACATGTAAGGAGCCCTGGTGGCACAATGGTTAAGTGCTTGGCTAACTGAAAGGTAGGCAGTTCAAACCCACCCAGCGGCTCCACAGGAGAAAGACCTCGTCATCTGCTCTTGTAAAGATTACAGCCTATAGAAAACCCTATGGGGCAATTCTGTTCTGTCACATGGGGTCACTGTAAGTTGGACTGAACTCAGTGGCACCCAGCAACATCAGTAGACATGTTGACTGTAGATACAGTGACTCGTAGTAGTGTTGTTGTGAGGTGCCATCAAATCGATTCCGACTCTTAGTGACCCTGTGTACAACAGAACAAACACTACTCGGTTCTGTCATCCTCACAGTTGTTGGCTGTGTTTGAGCCCATTGTTGCAGCCACCGTGTCAGTCCGTCTCATTGAGGGTCTTCCTCTTTTTCACTGATCCTCTGCTTCACCAAGCTTGATGTCCTTCTCCAGGGACTGGTTGCTCCTGATAACATGTCCAAACTATGTGAGATGAGGTCTCACCATCCTCCCTTCTGAGGAGCGTTCTGGATGTGCTCTTTCCAGGACAGGTTTGCTCATGCTCCTGGCGGTCTGTGGCGTAGTCAGCACTCCTCGCCGACACCATAATTCAGTTCGTAGCAGTAGTTAGTTCTATAGTAGTAGAGTGTCATGTGTTTTTACTAAGATGTTTAGCAGATGGTGGAAGAAATAAAGAAGTCATTTCATTAAGCATGTACCCAGAAACCCAAAGCAACTGCCATCGAGTTGATTCGGACTCATAGCAAGCCTATAGGACAGAGGAGAACTGCCCCGTAGGGTTTCCAAGGCTGTAAATCTTTGTAGAACCAGACTGCCCCATCTTTCTCCCTTGGAGCTGCTGGTGGATTCAAACCACCGACCTTTTGGTTAGCAGCCAAGTGCTTTAACCACTGCACCACCAGGGCTCCTTTAAGCATGTACATGGACCAGTATATTCATGGAGTCAACATATCCATCACATCAAAAATATGTATCATCCCTCATCCCCAGGGACTCCCTCAGGCTTCAGAGAATGTTTATTTGACCAGGAATTGATTGCTTTGACTTTCAATAGTTACAGTTAACTTGCAGTCCAAAGTAAACATCAGTAATCTACCTTTTCCTGAGGCCTAGCCTAGGAACCTTTAGCACAGAAATGTTGGGGGAGGGGATGAATTGACACGAACTATCACAGTGACTTCTGTTTGGAACCGTAGTTCCTTTGTTGGAAAGACGTTCGACTGATAGAAGGATCTTGGAACCCCTGACCAGGCTTACAACCTCCAGCTTCTCTCTAATGAGGCTCTTGGGAGCTCTACAGAAAGGTGAGCCTGGAACTGTTGACTTGTGTTCTGGTGCTGGTTCCAAGCATTTGGAGAAGTTTCTTTTATTTCAGCCATGACTGTTACAGCAAGGCAAAAGAAAAGAAAGAAAAAAAAAAAAGTTTGTGTAGTCTTCCTAGTCTTCTATTTGTCTGTTTTTGTTTTGGAGTTTGACATAATAGAAAGTTCCAAGGATAATATAATAGCAGCTACCATGTTTTCATTTCTATCCCCTGCCTCTCTCTGCCGTCTTTCCCCATCCCTCCCTTGCCCACGTTGACATGCCTTATCCCAAAGCCACCCAGACCCTAAAGTTAACCAATTGTATCCATCTCCCCACTAAACATTTTAGCCAAGCCCCCAAAAAACAAGAGTAACTAATCTGAATTTTATTAAAGTTCAGGTCTTCTGGATTTTAGCCTTTTCATCTGTTTAAAAATATGTATATGTAGTGGCTTCATCTAGATTCTAAGATATTTTCCGGCTGCTTATATTACATGTTCTAACTATGTCAGTTCTTTGAATTACAATTCCATCACCCAAGCTAACTGGGATGACGTGTAACTCACAGGTAATCGCCCCTAGGTTACAGGTCCCAGTAACAGACACGTTTCTCTTTAAACAGGGTGGACCAGGTGCAGCAGCACCGTAAAGGGGAGCGGCGTCGGCAGCATCACAATGCTCTTCACAGGATACTTCGTCCTCTGTTGTAGCTGGAGCTTCAAGCATCTGAGTAAGCCTTTCTGTATTTTTAGCCTATATTACAGGTCACATCCCATTATAGGGACCTCCAACGGATTCTCTGGAAGGCTTTTTATATTACAGTTTTGCAGTGTCTGGCATGCCCCATGAATGAACTGTTGCCTGGGGCTCTGGGATTTTTTTATTAGAGGTTTTGGTTATAATGGCCTCTTTAAGACTTGACTGGAATTTACATAATTGCTCTTGTGCTCCATTTCATGTTGTCACTGGAGATCTGATAGTCGTGTGTTTTATGCTGAAAGCTGTTTCCCTGCTAGAAGATCTGGGCGCGTCCCCTCGGGTGGCTTTTGAACTCTTGCCTGAGAACTCCTTTTTAGGATGGAAACCAAACGGCTCTATTATACCCCGAAAGAGATAGGCACAGAGTAGAGCCATTGCTCATCCATGTGTGTAAGGTTGAAACCTACTTTTACCATAAAAACCCTTGTCATTGTAAGTTTCAGCTTGCACCAAGACTTATCACAAGGAAAATGCCTGGATTTTATTTCTCTTTTAGGTCCAGATAACTTCAAATACGATGTTATGAAAATATTTCCTTAG